CATCCATCTACTGGGCCTTATCCAACACGCTGTGAATGAGTTTGTTAATAATGTTACGACGTGTAATATTTATATGGTCTTAAAAATTTCTGCAAGCTAATACTAGCTAGGATAAATTTCCATTTAAAAAAAAAATCCCTAATGATAAATTTAGGCATATGTTTAATTTTTTATTTTATTTTATTATGGAGTTTTTTATTTTTGGTTATATATTATGGAGTTGTATTATTATTCACTATTGAGTTTTAATATTGTTCATTATATGTGATACTAAGTTTTAACTTTAATAGGAATTTTTTTTATGTGGTACTAAGTTACTCATATATTTTTGTTTTGTTTTGTTTGTCAAGCTCATATATCTTATCATATGCAATATATTGTAGTAAATTATTATAACTAAAAAATTATGGTGCGTTTAATTTTCTTTCACTAATTACTACATATTTTTTAAAGACACGGTGTTTGTTAGGTCGATGCATAATCAACTCAAATCACTCTAACCCACCATGCCATGTATTTTATTCTAATTTTTTTGTGATAAAATAATAGACAATTGACTAAATAAACATCCTCTAAAGTTTCAATAAAAATTTCCAAGTTTTTCTCACAATTTCTGTGATTTTTATTCAATTTTTATTTCTATCGATATATTCTCGATATTTCTATCGATATATTCTCGATAATTCTATCGAAATATCTGTGTTTTTGAACCACTGATATTTCCGAAACTCTCGATATTTTAGACCTTGATACTAAGGGCTGGTTTCACACAGCTTTTTTACTCATTAATTGCATACCAACCTTATTGTGACATGTGTACACTTTGCACTCTGTCTTAAGCAAGCTGAAAATCCTGCTTTTGTTTTTCATCATCATTTCTTGAAGCATATTCTTCCTTCCCAGGGCCTTGAAAAGAAACCAAAAACTCAATTATTCCTTCCCTGATCATACTCTACGAATAAAATAAAATAAAAACTTAATGCCAAGATCAAAGAAAAGCTTATATTATTCTTCCTATGGGTAGTAGAATCATGTTCACCGTCTTAGGGTTTGACAGAGTTAGTTGACCCAAATAAAGAAATTTAGAGAAGAAGAGAAAAGCTAGCTGACAGACTGAAAGAGCATCCAACTCTCATGGTCTTAACACTTTTGACCAGAACTAGACTTAGCTTGTAGCTACAGGAGAGAATATTGTAGATTCAATTATGATATGCCGCCGACCATGTGCAATGCATGGCGTAGATCCCGGCCTTTGTAAAGTTAAGCTTAGGCGCAGCCCCATAATTTAGGCCTCAGAAAACAGAAAAGCATGCTGCACTCACATCGGTAGGCAATGACATCTCTCCCCCGCTTTTCACTTCTAAGCTCTCGTGAACCTCCCTTTTGTTTTTCCCAGTCTGGAGGTTAGGTTACACGGGGACTATAAAGTGTGAGTAAACCCTTCGAAAGCAAAACACTCCAAGAACAATATTATTCCAAAACTTTTAGCATTCTACTTAAGTTCATAATTGTAACTAAAATAATTGAGTTAGATGCTCTGTAACTATCAGATGAGTGTTTTCCTAACTTTTTTATATCTATAATAATAATAGTGATGGACTAAACTACTCTAATTTACAGGAAAATGAACTCAAACTTAAATGTAAGAAGAGACGGCTCATTGTCGTGGAGGCCAAAACCCTTGTAGTACGTTTCCTAACTTTTTTATATACATATAATCATAATTAGGGATGGATGTGATTCGAAATCTGCAACTTTTTCCACAACCGGAAACCAACAACAAATTTGCAGTATTGACATATTTGATACTAGTACTGGCCGACACTTTGCGATTGGACCGATAATCGCAGTCGATGTCGGCAAAACCGCTAAAAGGGACATTTTGGAAAAGGCAAAAGGAGAGAGAAATATTTTGAAAACAATCCAAAATAGACAAAAATGCCCTTATTTATTTTTGAATTTCATAAGGAATTCATTAGATTTGCATGTCTTTTGTTTGAAAGTTGAGAAGTTTTTCTGTCTTTTTTGGAAAAAATTTGGCTTTTTCCAAAAGTGAAATTTTTGTGTGGCTAAAACCTAAATTTACTTTATTGGTGTTTTGTCAATTCCGAAAAGCTTGTCAGATAGAGAGAGGAATAAGGAAAAAAGGGGAAAAAAAAAAAAAAAAGGGAGATGAGATGGAAACAGACAGAAAGAGGGAGAGAAGAAGAGGAAGGGAAAAAAAAGAGGTGAGAGATAGAAAGAGATTGAGATAGACATGTAAACGGGTTAGATTCGGATTATTATCGGATTTATTTTGTGATCTATAAAAAATCAAAATGTCATTAGTACCCTCGTTCTTTTATTGTATTTATCTACTTTTTATATTAATTTTTGATATTTTATCATCAAAATTAGTTTTAAGTGTATTCTTAGTGCATATAAAACTAAATATACATCATGTTAAGTCGGATCGAATCAATTATAATTCATATCTGTATTTATTTGTAATTGGATTTGGATTGTAATCGGATTGAAAAGTCCAATCTATCTCCTATTAATTACACCGAATTTGAATTAAAATTCAAACCATTGACAGGTCTAGACAGAGAGAGAGTAAAAAGTAAAAAAAAAAGAAAGAGAGGGGGAGACCAGAAGACAGAGAATTAACTTTTACATTGGAGTGTTTCTTAACTTTTACACACATATATATGGCAGAAAAAAGTAAAAAAGTTCATAAAAAAATTTGGAGATTGATGGAGCATTTGGTCGGTGGGTGAGGGGCAAGAAGGGTATATAATTAGATAGTCCTGGAAAATTTTGAAGAAGGTGCTGAGACAAGCCCAGTCAGCCTACGGAGGCCCTAGGAGAGAAAAAGGCCCACAAAAAAGGAGTGGGTTTGTAAATGAAAGCAGCTACACATAGGGTCCCCATGGGGCCCCTCAAAATTCCCAAATGACAACCTCAAATCATTATCATTGCTTCATTTCATTGAATGGAAAATCAGGAAAATATTTTATTTTGGGTTACTATTAGTGGGTTGGATGGAAATAGACCAACAAACAAATTGACAAAACCTTGTGTTCAAACTAAGGTAGAGTAGGCATAGGGGATGGATGGGTTTGAATGAATAATTTTTGCATGTGGGTTTTGTGGACCACCAAACCAATTGGCCCCGATAACTTCATTGACATTCCATGCAAACCTCTGCAACTCCCAAGTGACAAAACACAACTAAACTATCATAAACTGGCCTACCACCATTTGCTTCCTTCAAAGTTTCAAACTAACTTCGTGACTTGCAAGAGATTTTTTGTGGATGCATTAGAACATAGCAAACTTTTCACATGGTCGTTAATTAATCATCTCAAAAATCACCATCAACGACCAAACCCAAGATGATGCCAACTTTTTTTTTTTTTTTTTTCTTGTTTTTTGTTTGTCTGATAAAAAGACAAGTATGCAACACGAGGACTGTCCGAGGAGGTTGTTATTTTTGGTTTAGGTTCGAATTATTTGGCATTGGGAGCTGGCAGGCAACATGAAATTTGTGATTGCAAATTGCAATGCTGCAAGTTTGGTGTGTGTAGGCCGAGGCTCAACCCCCTTCTCCTCCCGTAGGACTCTGTGTTTGGGTTAGGCCGCAGTCGATTAACAGTAACAAGCCCAAATACTCCAAGGCCATTTTGGGCAAACGTAATTAGGCCTTGTTTGGTTGTATTGTTCGGATCCAATTAAAATAGACATGTCTCTTGGTCATGTTTGGTGCTACCTCTCATATGATCATAGTGATTCTATAGTGAGAATCTTATATATAACCTTTAGGTGAGGTTATATCTCTTAATTGTTTGATCAAGTTAATCAATTTGATCAAACGACTAATCAATTTGATCAAACAATTAAAAGATAGGGTCCACATATAAGGCCCTCATTATAGAAGAATTTTATAGTTTGGCTTTTTCCAAAAGTGAATTTTTTTATTTTTTTTTATTTTTTTTATTTTTGGTGTGGCTAAAACCTAAATTTACTTAAAAAGAAACTGTTTTTGTGATATTACTGCTGTATTTTGGCTTGCTGGGCCCATGATTCTGTTTTATCTCTTCAAGGTATTGTTTGTTTCTTGGGCTTGCAATTTGGGCCTTATTTGAATAATTGTTCACGTGTTACTCATAAAATATCGCATTGTCAAGAAAAAAACAAAATTGTTTTTTGTATGAAGAAACACGTGCGTGTCTTACGCGCGAAGAGGAAGCCTACAGGAAAGCCATGCATTCATTTCATGGTGGCCGACGGCAAATTAAGGAGGACAAGAAAGCGAATAAGATCAATGCCGGACAAGAAAGCATATAGGAATCTTCCTCTTGCGCCATACCCCCCCAGTTTGAACCATACTTTGGCCTCTTTCTATTTTGGAAATGTCAGCGGGGACGGGGAGGGGTGGGAATAACAAGTCAAGACCAAATTTATACGACCTTTTGTGTTTTTCATGATATGGACAACTTGTTATGTTATGTTATGTGTGCGATCGATATTAAAAGACTGACTGAGAGGTTGGTTTCTACTTCACGTGTTTTCATAACTTTTCTTTTGTTTTCGTTGTATATTTTACCCCAACGGTTGTGATGAATATGAAATTTACTTGGCTGTGTGAGTTTTTTTTTTTTTTGTCACAGACGATATTTGAAAAAATATGATTCGAATATAGAATTTCGGATGTAAATAAAAGTAATTATTCTTAACTATTTTAGCCTACAAATCCCTTCCGAACCTATAATGTCTTTGGCGTAATATAAGAAGATGAAATCAAGATTTACTAAATAAGAGTAAACTAAAATTGGAAGAGGCTATAGCTCTAGATAGCCCCGTAATCTTTGGAGCTTTGGGGCATTAAAGATCCTCAAAGACGAGGTTATTTTCGTCAATTCATTTTAAAACATCGCCATCACGATCGAAACCAAAAGAACCTAACGTGGAGACCGGAATAGCCGGTAAAAGTCATTAACAAAGCGTACGTGGATCCCACATGTCCCTTAGAACTGTAAAATAGTGACCGACACGCGTCCGGCCTTATCCATTTCCCACACAATTTTCCCTTTAAATTCTGAATCCAAACTCTCCAACTGTCTAGTGTAATTGTTAACCAAAGTTCCCAATCCAACGTGTTTCCCAAGCTTTTTCTCTCTCTCAAAATGTCCACCAATCTCATCCATTTTCGGCCCACCCTGATCGGGCCGCATGCCACCGGAAACCGAAAGCCCGACTCAGTTACCCGGAAAGGCTCGGCGTCCAAGTGGTGGACCCCCCTATTCGGGTGGTCCTCCGAACCCGACTACATTGACTCCCACTCGAAGACCGAGTCCCGGGACAAGGCCGAGAGCGGAGCGGACTCGGGCCCCGACTCGAAGCCGTGGAGATCTCGGTTCGCGCCTGGTTGCTTCACGGAGGAGAAGGCGAGGCAGCTCCGGATCAAGACCATGGAGACGGAGTCGTTTCATGACGCCATGTACCACTCGTCAATCGCCTCCAGGCTGGCCTCCGATTTCAAGAACCGATCCGATCTATGAGCCGGCGACTTAGGTGTAATAAAGCCCCAAATCTTCTATCTTTCTTTTTTCATAGAGTAGGATTTTAGGGGTGGAAAATGTGAAAGATGGTGCCGTCTATGATGTAATTAACGCTTGTTTTTAGTTAATTGCGTGGCTTAGACGATTAAGCGTGTAATTATTGATGTGTGTGTACGTATATATAATCCTTTTTCTTTATTATTGGATTTGCTATTTCGATTACAAGATATTGGATTATTTGCTTGTATGAGCTTGTGCCTGATAGAAATGGTAATGATAATGACGATGACTGATTATGATGAATGATGCTGGCTGAGCCTAACCATAAGTAATTTGATCTGTTTAGGTTGGTTCAACCGTTCAATATTTCAGGTTGGGAATTCGAATCCCCCTCCTTAAATATTTGGGTGTTCCTATCCCTTCCCTCCCCCGAACCCCAATCCCCCCTGCCGATAGGTTCAATATTTCCCGAGCTCGAATCCCCTTCCGACACAAGGGTGCCCCTCCTGCCGAATCCCCCTACTGATAAGTTCAAAATATCGCTCAAGTGAGGGCTAATGTGGGGCTCATCAAATAAAGTTCAAGTTGGATACGGTATATTTGAATCTTGGGTAGGATCCTGCAACTTAGAAAAGCTTCCAAACTGGGAATATGCCTATGAGAATCGCACTGAATGAATGCACAAGGTAATGAAACTAACGACGGTAAACTCCATTGACATGGCCCATGATAGGGACACCAAACAAGTGCCCTAATGACATATTTGGGATGATTGGGGCCTGAATATTTCTCAAATTATAAAGCACAGATGTAACAGATAAGAGGCCAGCTCCACTGCAGCTAAGCCAGTATGAAATATCCTGCATAACTAGCAGAGTGTTGACCAACCGTCTTAGCACATCAAGCATCCACAAAAACAAAAACAAACCTTACAATTCCCAAAACCAGTTTGGTCATTCTGTATTTATTTCACTTGCAATTATAAGCAAAAAATGATTCGGATTCTTACACCTCCGTCCGGTGAAAAGAAAATGAAATGTATTGTGTTGTAAATTGTATCACTCCATGATAAATGGATATAATCTGAAACTACTCTAAAAAAATATCAAAGTTTGCTTCAGCTATTGTTGGTGCCAGTGGAACATTGGGCTGCAACGAACCCGCAAATCAATTCAAACCATGCTCCGCACATTTACTTGCTCTCAACATCATACAGATCAGTTCTGAATACGTTGCATCAAGGATAAAACAAAAGAATGCGGAGAAGACAACAACAACAAATAGAGAGAAAAATAGTTCGGGTTTTGAAGAGATCATAAGACTAGAAAATGATTGAGTAGCAATTACAGGAACATAAATCTGATTCTGGTATTCCAATTCTCAAAAGGAACCACATCAGGATGCAGTTGCATAACTTCGTCTCACAAGCACACAAGCACACAAGACAGAGTGAGTCATACTGTTATGTATTCAACTGAGGTTGAAGGTAATCTATTTCAACAACTGATATCTCCAATCCATTATCACATTATTCATACAAATTCTAACTTGCAAGTGAAAATATTTCTCGAAAACCAATTCCCCTACCCTTGCTCCTCTCACCCCTGGTCTACCACCAGAACATACACTGGTACAATGAGAGAAGAGCAGATGGAGACATTTTGCACGCTTTTATACAAGGACTTCATCTCATGCAAAGAAAGAAATGTGCTTTACCATCCCCTTCTGCTCCATCATTATATTATAGATTCTACCCTCATTTATAGGCGCTCTCAAAGAGCTGGGAACAAAAAAGGATCAAAAAAAGTGCCCCATCTTATTTACACACACACACACATCCCATAACATTTCATATTCCATAGCCACTCATTGCAAAAGCAAATCCCTAAAGATCCAAACTTGAGGCAGAAAATACTAAAATCTATCAACTTTAGTTCCAATTTCTAAGCAAAGGAAGTAATTATTTCCAACTATTAACCTCCGTTCACAAGCTATATGCAATGATCAAAACTTTTCATTTCTCATTTCTTCTAGAATGGTGAATTTTCAGCAGCGTAGCACCAACCTATCTATTCAATACATAATCTATCAATCATAAAAAAGAACTCACCATAAAAAAAAGGATACACCAAATAAAAGCCATGAGCAAATGCTCCCACCAACACAGCAGTAAACAAACGGTCCCGTACAACTGGGTTCTTACGCAGCGAGAGTCGAACTGCAAAATCAAATATCCACAGCGAAAATTGTTGAAGGGACAAGACCCAGATGGGAAATATCGATAAAATCAAGTAAAAAAAGAGTTGAGAAAATTGCAAAACTTACTGAGCGGAAGAACAGGGGCATATATAAGAGGAACCAAGAACTTAAATTGGGACCCCGGGCTTCTCTTTCTTATAGCAGCCTCCCTTTCAACATATTCATGAACACAATTTGATATCAATACCGAACAAATTTCTATGAATTGAAAGGCAAAAACACAGAGAAACATAAGAAATATACGTTGCGGGTTTCGCCGGACTTACTGATTAGAGGGATCGGACGATGAAGGCCACGAGGCCATGGCGGGGTCGAAGGGTTTCAGATCTGTTGTGATGTGGTGGTCTAAAACTTACTGCCGGCAGCCTTTTTTCTTGTTTGATCTTCGACGACTGTATTATTCATTAAATTAAATTTGTTTACACCCAAAAATGCATTTTTTATTCTTTTCGTTTTTTTTTTCTTGTTGCCCCACCTAGTAAGCCGAAAATCACGGCGTGATGCTACAAAATTATTTATTTTTCGTTTATAATTACATAATTCAATTTCATAAAATTATTATTATACACAAAAAAATTATATGTGGGACCCTCTAGTGGGTGAAATTCCGAAAATAGAAATAGTTCGTTCTTATAGAACGTTCAGGAAACAAAAGTAATCAAATCCAACGGCGGAGATGATAGCGTCAATCTAAAGCCACGAGCTCAGAGCCAGAGATCCATATAAGTGCCTCCCTCCTCGCCTCTCTAAACTCAAGTAGCCGTCTTCTTCTCCTTGCGTCTCTGTCACTCCGCTGCTCTTAGATTCTCTCCCCACTCACTACCTTGAACCCAATGGTAACTCTCTATCTCTATCTCTATCTCTATCTCGCTAATATTTTTCTCCTTATGTTAGGGTTTAGCTGTTCACGAGATCGATCTTTTTCGTTTCGCTTTAGGTCATATTAATTTTTTTTTTTTCATGTCTTTCAAATTTGTTCTGTAGGCTTTGCCAAACCAACAGACTGTTGATTATCCAAGCTTTAAGCTTGTCATTGTCGGCGATGGAGGCACTGGTAGATTTTACGTTTCCCTGTTTTCTGTCTGATTTTCTGAATAGCTGTTTTGTTTGACTATCCTGGCACAAGTGTTTCATGTTTAGAATTAGGTTTTTGACAAGAATGTGATTCGCTTGGATAAAAAGTTCACTGTTTCCTGGTAGTTTTGGTATTGGATTTTGATAGATTTGATCAACACTTATCAGCACAAGGGCAAACAAAAACAGAACCACAAAAAATACTTTGTTCTACTATGGTCCCTGCCTGAGATTCTAAAGAAATAATTTCCCGTAAAAGTAAAGAATTTCCATGGGTTATTTCTTTCTTGTTTGAGATTTGTTTCTCTGTGAACTTGATGATTTTCCTGGAGTTATTTTACTCTAAAACAAATGCTGTCTATGGGTTCGAGGCTTTCCCGCTTGTTTTTCAGTATATGTATATGTTCGTACCTTCGTTTTAATGGGAATTTCGGAGCTACAATGGGAAGGAATGAAGAAGCAATTACCGTTGCTCTCTACACTATAGTGTGCTGTGTGGTAATTTGGACTTGGGCTGAATGGTGATGAATTGTGCAGGAAAAACCACTTTTGTGAAGAGGCATCTCACTGGAGAGTTTGAGAAGAAATATGAACGTAAGACTCCTCTTTGACATTTCACTACATGGTTCAATTAATTTAATTATTATTTTTTTTCTGATTGAGTTATGTTTGGTTATACTTGCAAACAGCAACCATTGGTGTGGAGGTTCATCCTTTGGATTTCTTCACAAATTGCGGAAAGATCCGCTTTTACTGCTGGGATACTGCTGGGCAAGAGAAGTTTGGTGGTCTTCGGGATGGCTACTAGTAAGTGGAGGTTTATTTTGATGTTGCTATGATTTATTTGGTATTTCACGTCCCACATAAAATCATGTAATCCGCTAATGACACTTAATATATTTTGTGTCTTTCAGAACATTTTACTGTATCTTTTAATTTGTTATACATGTGAAATAATGTTAGGATAAACTAATTGTGACAACGTACACCTCAATGGTATCTAGTTGTATTTGATTTTGTGATGGATAAAGGAATTTTGTATGAAGGAGATGGGACTGAAAGATGCAATCACCTTTTTCATTTTTTCATTGATGCGTAATATTAGCATGGTATGAATGATAGAGAAAGAAATATTTGTTAGTAGCTAGAACAATATTTAAGTATTGCACGGAAGCTTTTATGCTTTAGTGAAGAGTGTAAATCTCATTCTTGTGATTTTGTGATTAACTGCAACCTCTAGGTTTTTCACCAACTTTTTCTCTGGTGGTTCACAAGATTAATTGCCCTTTCATTGTGCTGCTTAGTTGAAGGTCTGACCTGAAATTATCTGTTAAATTATGCAGTATTCACGGGCAATGTGCAATCATTATGTTTGACGTCACAGCTAGGTTGACATACAAGAATGTTCCTACATGGCACCGTGATCTCTGTCGGTGAGTTGACTAAATTTCTAGATGTCATGTCATGTCTGTTCTTTCTTTTATTGTTTCATTTTTCCAGCTGTTGATGATGGCTTGGTATTTTGGCTCTAAAAATTGTAATTTCAGGGTCTGTGAGAACATACCCATTGTTCTCTGTGGAAACAAGGTTGATGTGAAGAACAGGCAGGTTAAAGCCAAGCAGGTTACCTTCCACAGGAAGAAGAATCTGCAATACTATGAAATATC